CAAAACCTATGGTGACACGGCTGCTAACAAGCTGGTACATGTTCCGTTGCAGGCTACCATCTGGGCTTCGGCTGAAGACAGTCAGCGATATGCCTCGTAAAAATGATATGTCAATCAAGGAACCAAACGCGATGGAATCCATGAAAGAACAATAAATCAGTAGTGGGTCTAATGAGTCCATACTACCAGTAGATGATATTTACCAGACACATTACACTGTACGTAGAAGATTACATACGGCACTAACTACGCAAGCGATGAATAAGACGTTAAACCCTTCTCCAAGCATACACCGAAAAAACGATTGATCGTCAGCCACTCACTGGTCGGCGTAACATCACGCATGATTGGCACGACCGCCGAAACATCGCTTAAGTCTGAAAGACTTTCATTTATGTACACTAACGCTCAAGGTCTCCTCAGTAAACTAACCGAACTTCGGCTACGTCAGGTTGCGAATGTATGGGACCTAATTTACATTACCGAAACTTGGTTGCACCTAGTGGTGACTGAGGCTGAGGTTTAGATAGCCGGAGTGTTACTCATCCGGAACGACCGCCCAAGCATAGGAGGTAGTGTCCTACTCTACTATCGCAGCGATCTGCAATGTGCAATAGTTGATAATCTGGAAATCCACCTTACCGACTCACTCTGGTGCCGTCTCCGACAAAGACACAACGACACATGTCTCATTGCTATAGTTAACCGCCACCCAACGTCCACTCTGGAAATGGATTCCTTCTTGATCCGTGGCCTAAACAGAGTAACACGCACTAGGTACAGTCACATTCTCATCTCCGGGGACTTCAATCTACATGATCTGAAGTTAGCGGCATCAGCCAGTGAACAGTTCAAAGCAGACTTGCATGAACTGATCGCTAATATTCCTTTGTACAACCATGTCATCACGCCCACTAGATTCAGGACAGCAAACAAACCGTCCACATTGAATCTTGTGCTCACGAATGAAGAGCTCATAGTTAACAAGTTATTGATGGATAGTCCATTAGCTCTAGGTGATCATGTGGTAATATAGCTCAACTACGTGTTTTATGCAGCGTTCATCTGAACACTCTGAAATAACTCATACAATCACACGCTACCACGTATTGAAAGAACTCGTCGGCGCATCTGCTTGGGAATTCTCAAACACCAGTCCCTTTGGCGACATTTGGACAGAGTTTGTTGATAGAATCAGTGACATCGTCAACGGAGCATCAGGGAGCAAACCCCTTCGTCCCGCAAAAATGCCTTCAATTCTAAACAGCAGGGCTCGAAAATGCCTGGCGATAACGGATGCAGCATGGCGTGCCTACGAGGTTAACCCAGACTCAGCGACTTGGGGCAATTTCTTGACCCATCGCGACCATTGCACTGCACTTGTCCGTGAGGACAAAGAAACTTATCAACAGTGCCTAGGCAACAAATTCATGATAAACAGCAAACTGCTATATAGGCATGTCAATAAGCTTCGTAAAGTGAAGCATGGAATCCTCCCCACTTTCCACGACAGGCGGTAGAATTCAAAGCGCAGAAGAAGCAGCTAATGCCCTGCGGCTACAACACGCCCCAATTTACGAAACCACAGTCTCTACCTGTACCAGAATGTTACACACATTACCGAGTCCACTGTTTACACAACCCATAAATTGCGCTAACGAAGTTACTCTCACTGCGTGAGCAAAGTTCTTCGGGAGCAGACAACATCCGCCCAAAAGGAATGAAGGCTGCGGCCAACAAGCTAGCTGAACCACTGTCCCATTTTTTCCAATGATGCTTTGATGAACAACAAGTCCCCAATATGTGAAAGCGTGGAATTATCACCACAATTTTTAAAGCTTCTAATCCTTCAGAGCCTGCCAACTATCATCCAGTGACTCTCTTACCTGTGCTCGTGAAGGTGATGGAAGCGGTCGTCGCTGAGGTTTTAATGGACTACCTGAAAAAATGCAACATCTTGGCACCGGAGCAGCATGGCTTCCGTCTACACCGGTCATGAACCACCAAGTTCTTAATTGCACGAAGTAGTTGGACGGAAGTGGTTGATGACGGGATCGGAGTCGACGTCATCTATCTGGACTTCTCCAAATCTTTCGACCGAATGCATCACAGCATCTCACTTCAACGACTACATAACTACGGAATCGGAGATCCTGTCCTTAGTTGGATAGGCAGCTTCTTTCACCAACGGAAGCTTCAAGTACGCGTTAGGGGATCACCCTCTAACCCGATTGTGGTGGAATGTGGTGTCCGACAAGGCCCAGTGCTAGGACAGCACATATTCCTGGTGTTTATCAATGATCTAGCAAGAGTTATCTCCTCAAGTTACCTGCTTTTCGCCAATGGCGTCAAGATATGGCGGGCAATTATTAACAACGAAGACCACAATCTAATCCAACATGAGCTAGATTGCATTTATGCATGGTCAAAGAGGGACGTGCTTCAATTGAACATAGCTAAATGCAAGGTGGTACATCTGCGTCACCAGCCGATGAGCTCTTACAAGCTTAGCGACCACACAATGGAGAAGGTTTCTCAGGAGGGTGACCTGGGTGTATTGGTACAGGAAGATCTCGCGTCTTGGAAACAAGCAGAGAAGGCGACGAGAACCGGCAATAAACACTTCAGGCTTCTTCGCAAAACCTTCGGTTAGTTTGAACCTTCAATCTTTCTCCAAATACTTAACGCCTATGTGCGACCACACGTGGAATATGTTATCCAGGCGTGGTAGCCGTGGTAGAAACAGGATCTCTGCTCTCGAGACTCCTCAACAAAGGGCAACCAAGAAAGTCAGGGGCCTCTTTCATCTGCCATAGCAGCTTGGACTGAAATCTCTAAGAATGTACAGTAGTCGATATCGGCTTTTGAGGGGGATCTCATAAAGACTTACCAAATTCTGAAGAACCTAAAGCATATTTGTCGCCCGCCGCTGTAACCAAAGAGGTCATCCGGCTTGAATGCCGTAGAAATATCTTTTACTTCCACGTGTGTCAAACTTGGAACGCCCTTCCTAATGAAGTCGTCCCTTCTCCCAATCTGGCGATATTTAAAGAAGCGAGTTGAAAATGCGTTGTCTCATTTACATTTCGTTTTATGACTTCCTAGCCAGGGGCTACAAAACGCAATCAAATGATGTCTTGCAAAACTTCCAACCAATGGGGTTAAAAATTTATACTTTTAATATGCAAACATCTACGCTATTCTACATAAGTCTATGCTGATTCCACCAAAAGGCTCTTTCATTTATCATGTAATTCACTTTCTGCAATAGTTTCCATCCCACGTGACTTGTTAAGTATTGTCTTTTTATCCGTAATAAACCGTTGTTCCATTGTTCCATTGTTCCAGTACATACGCTCACAGCCGTTTCTCCCACAATTGCGTGGCCAGGCAGAGAGGTTCGTGGATACGTTCAAGCCAGCTATCTTTAAATCGAAACATGAGGTACCTATAGAGATGACTGACCAGTTACTTCCTTTTACCAATCAACACCGAATCCAAAAATGTCGGATGGTTTTTCTCCAGCACAGACTATGATGAACAGACAGCTTCATATGTCCTTCGATGCTATTCGACCGCGCTCAGAGCCATCTTTTGGTGAAAAGAACGGCAGAATGGAATATGATTTTAACGGACAACATAGAGAAAAGCGATGATCCTTCACAACTGGACAGAGAGTGCTAGTGCGTGACTGTCAGGAAGGTCACGCGAAGTGGACACCTGGCACGATCAGAAGCAAGCACGGAAATGTCATTTATGACCTGATCGTGAGAAGGCTGATCTGACCTCGCCATACTGACTAGCTACGGGCAATGCTGTGCCAACCAGAAGAAACAAAGTCTGCCGACCTCGTGTTTGACTTGCTGGTGGAACGCTTCAAATTGTTACGAGTTCGTGGACGACCACTCTCAGCAGAACACGTTAACCAGACCACAGATCCCAAAACCCGTTTATCGAGCATTTCGGCAGGGAGGATGGACCGACTAACACAGAATAGCGTTCAGAAGACAGCAAATGAATCTCAGGCTTTGATCATACACCACAAACGCAGTCTCAGGTAGGTAGACGTTTAGGAGAAGATGGGAATTTTTTAGAGGAAGTCATTATTTCGGCGAGTAATCGGTTTTTACTGATTTTCCCATCGATTTTGTACTTTCTAGGATGTTCTAAGGCTTGCAAATGACTGTTCACCTCCTGGAGATTGGCCAGATCGGCATGGCAGTCCTAACCTTGCCAGTCAACCATCCTGCTCTGGAAATCGGTTAATAAACGATCTATAAATATAAGTAAGGTTTGCTACAGTTGTGCAGTTTCCGGCAGCAGTTGATGCATTATTTGATCAGGGTCATTTGCGTTCTGCTTTTTCTTTCGATTGGGCTAGAAGTCTTGTGGAGTAGTAAAAAGCATTTTTGGAATTTCGGCGAGCATTAGTAGCATGACAGTAACCGTTGCTGGGCAAATGGTTATGTAATCGGTACGAATAGGGAATGAGACCTTTTCACCTTGGGTCTTTTTATGTCCAACTTTGGAGTAGTAAAGCAGCTACGAATGATATTCTGCATAGATCATAATGTTTGATCGCAACTGGGAATTTAACCATGTGACGTTGCTCGACGTCCCACCTTACGCACTTCTTAGTGTTCGATGTCCAAGGCGACTATTTCCATGAACTTGACACGTGCACATGTAATGAATTTGATTACATGTGGACATTTGGTTGAAAGTGCAATATCTGTTAGACCACAGATCGAGTCTATAGTTCATCGGTTGGAATGCGCTTCTTACCGTCGAGGAATATATTATTCAGTCATTAAATTGGATGCCAGTTGCTTCAGATGGCTTTGCTTTTTAATTGGGAATACAATTCATAGGATAAAAAACAAATAACTTTCCGACCTGATGGCGACGTTTGTCTTCGTCCTAGCATGAGGAAGACATGACAGGAAGACAATGAATCGGCCCAACACAAAAATTGTTATGATAATAACTGGGAAACTTACGATTGAATGTCACCAACTGCTGAATCGCAAAGAAATTCAAAGTGCTGTTTTTTATGCTCGATTCCTCCGTAGGCAGTGTAGGCAGTGTTGTAGCAACTGACGAACTTGCCGGGGATCATTTCTCCCTCATGTTTCGCTCTGCACACGTAGACACCATCTCCAGCTTCAATGGCTCTATCTGGGAGTGGTCCACCCCGATAAGGTACCCAAGAAAGGGTCATTTGGTATCCTCTTTCACAACTAGCCATTTCCACTAGTGTAGGTGGGAAGCTAACGAGGTTGCTGGGAATTCCGGTCAGGTCCTAAAAGAGTTAGTGCGTTTGGTGCGAGCCCAACAGATGATTAGAGGGATAGGATAAAACAGGTCAATGAAATGATCACCTGGATTTTAACAAGCCTATTACAATTAAGGTCTGTGCAGCTGACAAGTCACATGTTCACATGTCACCAACTGTGACGCAATTGAAACTACCTAACACGAAAACGGCGACCTATGTCATGTGACCGATTGACGAATGGGAATGTTGAACTGAGTAAGAGATCACATGATCCATTTACTTATCAGTAAATTGCTCGTCAATAACTTGCCAAATGGATGCATCTGCAGAGAAATAGCAGCAGCCTTCATTGATTTGGTACCTACCTGAGCGAAGAGGTGAATTGCAAATTATCCGAATACGTTGAAACCTGCGAGGCTCTAGTCACTAGCACAAGGAGGCTAGCACAGATATTACCAGAGTGAGTTGGATTACCGCTTATCCAGATCTCGGTATAAGATTTCGGCCAAAGCTAACATTATGTCTCTATTAGAACAAACAGCCTAATTTGGTCTTCCGTGAATACGGTACGGAAAAATAAACAGACAAGTGGATATACCTATTCCGCAGTTTGTTGGTCTCCAGCGGCTTGACTTTAGTCCGCATGTGGCCAAATATGATGTGGATTTTATCGCGTGGGTATGGATATCGGTTGTAGTAATATCTAACGATTTTTGATGACAGCATTTAGGTAGGCGATAAATAAGTATTGTTAATCGGGGCTTCAAAGAGGTTGATATAAGTGGCTTCTCGGGGAGAACTCAGTAGCCATGAAGGGGTGTTGATAAATGCCTGGATTTTCTCCTTTCAAAACAAAATAGGATAAAAGATGGTTGGGACACATGCGAAATTAGTATCTTATTAACTAACTATGCTACCATCATTTGTTTGTGGTACACATTTTTGTGGTGGAACAATGAGCAATGAAGATACACGGGTTAAGAAGCACTGCTTTACAAGTCTCGTTAGACTGTCTGGTGTCGTTATTGAAAAGGTAAAAAGACACACTTACTTATCGGAGGGTTATTTTGAAATACACGTTATGTGAGTTGATTGCGAAGCGCAATCCCAATGTGGACCGCGATTCACATTGGTGCGAACATTGGCCAGTTCGATCGCGGGGTCAGTACCCCATGAAGCAAATAGATATAGGGCTTTGCGAACCCGAAAAAAATACACTCTAGGGGTTCACTGCCTGCTATCTCTACCTGGTAAGATCGAATAAAATGGAAACCGGTGCCGTTGTGCAATGTTTTCTGATTAGTAACACCCAATATCTACATGCTGTACACTTAATGCTTTTATCCGCAAAAGTAAGATTTATCATTTTTTGTGTCAATGACGGAGTAGTTCTATTCTTCTCATGGTGTGACATCACCCGAAAGTGGCGGATGGTACCTCCTGGGTGTTTCCAACGAGTGGAACAGACAAATCTTGGTAGTTGTTGAAATGTAGGTCGATGAGTGGGGTATCCAATGGCCACTTAAATATCACTATTTCCGGTGCAAAACTGACCGATTGGGGTAGTACGTTTCAGGAAAGACGAACAGGCAGCAAGGAAATTTTTGGGACATTCCAGATGGCTGTATTGCATTGCAATTCCAAGAAATGACCTCTTAGTCTGCTGTTACTGCTGGGCTGTAGCAATGAGCAGCACATGTGATTTAGATCTTGCAGCATCACGTAGACCATTATCAGGTCGACTTGTAATTGGCAGCACATTCCGCTGAACACAGATGTTTTAACTTCCGTTCGTATTGAAGATTACTCATTCCAAGTCCAGTGTTGTGATTGCTCAGGATTAGTGATATTGTGCTCTGCCCATGGATACCAGACTTGAACTGCATATTCGACGCGAGGACGAACGTAAGCTCCGAGCATCTGTCGGAAGATAGCGATGTCAGCCTGTTTAAATGCTCGCTTCAGCAGCCTAAATGTCTGTTCTCCGCTTTTGATACTTTTGGATTGCCTGGAATAACCCAAATCATCCTGAACCGACAGACCTAGGTCACGTTCAACAGAAGATTGATGCACTGATGCCTTTCCGAAATTTTAGGAGTGAGTGATCAAGTGCCGGACTGAGTTAACCTTGCAGTTATTTACGTTGAACCGCAGTACATTTCGGGCTGCTCATTAATGATTCATGTTTAGGTTACAGGGGACCAAATACTGATCATAATTCGAACGAATCCTGTGTCATGCTTTGGCACCATCAGCAAGAATATAAAAAAGGAATCGGTAATCTTTGTGAGACCAGTGATGTTTGACAAATCGAATATCATCCCAGAACTTGGACCTGAAGCGCGCCATACTAGATTTGAATTGAGTCGGATATAGTGCTCTGATTCCTGGCCCCAGCAGCTGGATGAGGAGTTTGGCGATTCTGCGTAAAAGGGGTTTAGCGCCTCCGTAATATCGGAACTTGGATGGGAGACTCCGTAATCTAGACGGTCGGACGCCATCGCAAGTCCAATCAGATCACGTCACCACCCGCTCCAGTGTCGGCCGGTCCTGTGCAGCTACTCCGTGCAATTAGTAGCGTTGTTATTCCCGATCGCTGTCAATGAAAGCCGTACTGCCTAGGAACAATATTGTTGTAGTTTTCCAGATAGCACACCAGAGCAGGTGCACTGGAGGATTGCATACCCTGGATAGCACATGGAGAAGAGATAACGGGCGGTAGTTTGAAGGTTCATATCTGCTTCCTCCTTCGTATCTGGGAGTGGTTATCTCAAGCTTCCTCAAAGCAGCAACCTGGTTCTGAGCTAAGAATAATTGAAAACGGCTTTAAAGGTTCTACCGGTTCCTTTGCTGTTGCCCTCAGTGCTTTAAGCGAACGGTTCCCACTTCGGAGTAGCTATGGTTGTGCAGACGTCAGCTTCCTCAATCCAGATTCAGATACAAAACTGATGTGGCTTAGTCTTAGTGGCAGGACACCAAAGTTGGAAGATGTTCCGATGGTAAATCTCACTGACTAATTCAACACAGTACAGGCACTGAGAGTGCGCCACGGCAGGTTGTTTGTCTTTGGATACATATAGCATCATTTTTTGTCTGAATTACAGCTAAAACGCTTACTAGGTAGTTAACAAAAAGTGAAATCAGGGCTTATTTGAGGTGCAGTATGGAGATAGGCAACAGTAAGCACAACATGAGGCTTCTTTACAGACTAAAGTTGGTGACATTCCCATGGGGAACAAAGTAGGAATGGTGTGTAAGATATCACCCTGGATGCTGGCAAAATAACAGGCATAATCGACTCTACGAACAGAAAGATACATCCATTTGAGGACAGTACATTGTGCAACATTATTTAGCGCATATTAGATCCAATATTCGCAGGAGTATTGTGATTTCCTACACAACGCCTCACAATCTGATCTTGAGTATACTCTCAAGCACAAAAACTTAAAATGGATTTCTACGATTCTACTCATAGGCGGACATGCAAACAGAGTAAGCAGAGAAAACGGAGAGAAGATTATTTCATTGTGCCGTAAGTTTATGTACGCAGCAAGGATAATTTTAATCATAGCAAGTAAAACTAGTGAGAAAATTTAAACCACTTAGTCTAACGGTAGAAGAAGGAGTTAAGTATAGAAGTAGATCGGCACCACAGCACTCCGTTATCGGAATGAAGAAACCACAAATCTGATACTCAATTCCACCGAGTGATCATATGTTGTGTGTCGGAAAGTATGCAAATTTATTTATTATGATTATAGAATGAACAGCAACAGACACGAACCACCTACTGAGAAGTTGTTCAGATAAACGGAAGCGTGTTTATACATAAATCCCTGCAAAAGACCGTGGAATTTACGTAGCTGCACTTGAAATGTTCATTACGAAAGATCCTTAGCCAAAATGCTGTATGATTCTGGCATGCATAATTATAAGAAGAATTCCTCACATAGAGAAAATAAGGTGATGATCCAGCGTGGAATGAAATGGAAGCAAGCCGAGCTAAACGATTGGAGGGATCATTTTGTGACATACGGTGGGCGGATGAATTGCGATGCATAATCATGATCATGGCTGCAACCCATTTTAAAGTGGTAGCCGGTCAGTTTTTGACTGGGACTGTAGCTGAAGCAGATTAACACTGTGCGTTGCCCGCTAGCAACACGACTGCAAACCAACTACACTTTCAAGCACCATATGCAACAGCGCTGTGACTCGAACCCTAGACTTTTGGTATGTAAGTCCAAACCCGTACTTTCAGGCCACTAGGTTGTGGTAGGCGATGCACATGAATACGAGTAATATCGCTGATTGGTGTCGAAGTTATTTTGAAGCACGGGTTATGTGCATAGATTTAGAACGAAGGGAAATACGTACGAAAGCATTCATGGAGTACAGTGTCGCCGGCGAAAAAACTCCCTGCTTGGCGCAATCAGAGTGATACGCGGGATTCCGAAGATACAGACACACTTGGTGCATTTGTGAGACTTGTTCACATTAGATATGATAATCAACAGCTTTCATTCACTCACGTGTAAAAGCTCCTTATGCGTGCATGCAGACCAAACTAAGTGAGACGGAGGGCAACGCACATGAAGTTCACCTTTTGGGCCATGTTTGTCACGACACCGAAGGAAAAAGCGTGTGTGTAAAATTATACTAAGTAATTCGGCAGCAGCGACTCTTGTGCGGGAACCAACACATATGCCGGTTCATGGAAACGTCGAGATATTTGGGACGGGAATTCAGTCATCACCACAAATGTTACTTATCGTAGTGGTTGGATTTGTCATAGACAACGTCTTCGCAAACAGAATAGATAGAGCTACGCTTTCGTACGCCTTATGTGCGAACTAAATTCGGCCAGTTTAATGACTCCTGATTTCTGGAACAATGAAACAAAGGAACCTGTTGCATTGCGGATAAAAGACGTTGCTTTAAAGTCCCTTTGGGATGATCGGGATAGTGGATTTACAACCGTGCTCACAGGAAAGAGTGCGTAAAGAAGTCTATCCGATTAGATTGGTCAAACAGTATTTCTTGGATTGGAATAGCGTCACATTCCAGGGTTCAGTTATAATTTTTATTCCTAATCGGAAATTCATTTTGCGCTATCAGATCTTGTTCGTGTGATACAGGCTAGCCCTCCAGTTTAGGAGTTTTGAG